TAAACCGGCAGTGGGACATCCCTCTCGCAATCCGGGACCGCAGGCTCCTAACCGCTCACCTGCCTGCCGGCCTGATTGCCCCTAAATGCCTCTGCCTCGGCCCTGCCACCGTGGCTTTGTCCAGAAGGACGTCCAGAAGGATGTCTGGAAGACGTCCTGTATAATTAGCACATAACCCTTTTATTAGTATAGATATGTCTTATTTCCCTTCGCGTTTTCCCTTTGAAGTTGTTAAAAAGTAGGTAGTGGTATTTGTGTTGAACACACTGACTTCCACATTGAAGCATCGTGAGTTACAAGGGGGGACAGGCGACACTGATGCTGAATGTAAGGAAATAAGTTGCTCGATCTACTCTGCCTTCCCCAGCGACCAGAGCTCTCCCGTGGCCCTGGGGGTGGGAGGGCACCTGGGGAATTCCAACTCGCATGATTTCTCATTCCTGCCTCTTCTCCTTCAGCTGTGGTGATCTGTGCTGTCTTCATCCAATACCTCCTTTAATTGGGCTGAAAATGCCAGATTACTTCCTATAAGTCTCGCTCTGATTGTAATCACGCCTCTACTTTTAAACACCTCAGCCAGTGAATGAATGCAGTCCACGCTGAGAGCTATTTCTGTGATCTTGAATTTTATGTAGGTCTTTGTTCTTCTCTGTACTTTAACAGGGATAATCAGAGACCCCAGACACTATTTACTTGGAATTCCATAAAGACACCTAGTAGCTCAAATAGCACACATATTGAATATAGTCTATTAAACTAACTGTATAAACACAGTATTGAGAAATTTAAAACAATTTTTGGAACACCATCAATGTTTTATCACTGGATAGTGTAAAACTATTATTTATTGTATTCATTAACATAAAGTAAACGTACTTCTGATTTCTGTGAGTTCTATTTCTTGTCGTGTTTTTTAGTCTATTTTGGAGATTTGAAAAATGAAACCAATGATTTTTTTTTAATGTTAAAAACCCATTGCACTAGAATTAAAATGTGCCTGGCTTTGTTATGCATTAATATTATTATAGCATGGCTTTTTAAATGCTTGATGATTAAGTTACTTAAAATACTTAGCAAAAAAAAAAAGCATACCTTTATAAAATCTGTCCAGCTTTTGAATATGACTTTCCATACTTGGAGAAGAGATCGAATGATGGTAATATAGTTTGGAAATCCTAGAATAAAAAAAGAGCAAAGATTACCACAGAGCCCTTATTGGCTTTTATTATTATTATTATTATTATTATTATTGGTTTTAAATATATATAACAATGACTAATTTTCAAAAAAGGAAAGGAAATGATTAGCTTTATTTAAATGACCTTAGTTTAATCTTTTTTATATTTATTAATTATATTTAGTGTTTACTGTAATATAATACTTTTCATATGTAAAATAACTCATTTTTAAAATGTACATTTTATGGATACAGACAACAGTATGGTAATTGCCAGAGGAAAGGGTTTGGGGGAGGTAAAATAAGGTAAAGGGGGAATAAATGGTGATGGAAGGAGACTTGACGTGGGGCGGTGAACACAATACAATCTACAGATGATGTATTATAGAATTATATACCTGAAACCTGCATAATTTTATGAACCAATGTCACCCCAATAAATGCAATAAAAATATGATGAAATACATGTACATTTCAACTTTTATTTTTTACATTTCCTTTGGATAAAAATATGTTCTAACTGTATATGCTTTAAAAGCATTAAATGCATCTAGTAGAAAAGAAGAAAGACCTAAAGTCAAGAATCTCAACTTCCACTTTAGGAAACTAGAAAACAGTGAGCAGCAGAAGAAAGACATAACCAAATCAGAGCAAAAACCATGAAACTGAAACAGAGATGAGCGAAAGTCAACAAAACCAAAAGCTGGTTCTTTGAAAAGATCAATAAAATCGATAAACACCTGGCCAGGCTAAGTGAGAAAAAAGAGAGAAGTCACAAATTAGTCACAGTTACTAAGAGAGATGGGTGGTCACTACTGGTGCCATGCACTTCAATTCAAACGATAAGTGAAGAAGTGTGAGCAACAGTGGACCACACATTGGATAACTCAGGTGACCTGGACCAATCACTTAAAAGACAGCCCACCAAAACTCACACACAAGGAGAAACACATAATCTGAATAGGCCCGTATCTATTGAAAAAAATCAAATCAGTAATTAATAACCTTCCCAGACAGGCTTTGATTCTTTCTGGTGAATTCTACCAAACAAGGAATAGATAATACTGTTCCAGAAAACGGAAGCACTTCCTAACTCCCTCTGCTTCGTCACCTAGAAAATGGAGATGTCCACCCCGGCCAGTGTTTCTTAATGGTTAAAGCATCGGCCTGCTCACTGGTCAAGGTCACATACCTGGGTTGCAGAGTCAATCCCTGGCCCAGGTCAGGGTGTGTGTGGGAGGCAACCAATCCATGTCTGTCTCTCTCTTTCTCTCTCTCTCCCTCCTCCCTCATTTCCGCTCTAAAAAAAACCAAAAGCCTCAGGAGAAGATTAGCAACAACAAAAAAGTAACTAGCTGGAAAAAAATTCATGTGAGAACGAATGCATTGCCTGGGGAAGTGGCAGCGGGGAGGGGGGGGGGATTTTTTTTTCCAAGACAATGACTAACTTTTGTCAAGGTTAGGTGATCCCGTGAGAAAGTGATCCCCCTTCCCAGAGAAGCACTGAGGGCCTCCTAGCACATCTTTCCTCCACTTTTCTTGACATTGTCTACATCTGAGATTTGGGGGATGGGATTTATGATGACTTCTTGGTGAGCTGGAGGGGAGGCCCTGGCATACCATATCTTGTTCATTTTTCTAATTACCTCCTGAAGAAGCAAACACCGTGAAGCAATACACCAGGTCATTTAAAAAGGCATAGGTGGCCCGGCCAGTGTGGCTCAGTCGGTTAAGCATTGTTTTATGCACCAGGAGGTCACTGGTTCGATTCCTGGTCAGGGCACATGCCTGGGTTTCGAGTTTGATCCCAGTAGGAGGAGTGCAGAAGGCAGCCAACCGGTGTTTCTCTATCATCAATGTTTCTCTCTCCCTCTTCCTTCATCTCTCTCTAAAGTCAATAAGAACTTTTTTTTTTTGAATAGCTAACTGAAATGAAGGGCAATTTTCTACTTACTTTAATGGCTTTAAAAGTGCAAATCTTACCCTGGGAATCAACTAGTCATTAAACCTTAAAATAAACAGTCATATGGCCTTGCCTTCATAAAAGTCAGTGTGTTTCCTTCTGTAGTCTATCATTTTCATCAAACATTTGTTTTCTACTTGTTGGTTTATTCTTTCACTGTGAAAACATGTATGATAATGTTTGGTATAAAAATCAAGAAATTAGTCTCCTGGCGGGGAGTCTGCTAACAACACCGTTTTAATCTCATCCTTCAAGCAGAGGCAGAAAACATATTAATTGCAGCTTAATTTATGCAACAAATATTTCATTTTAATTATGCTTAATTTTTGTCAAGCTATAAAAATGTCAATAGTTCTGACGCAGTGTTTGCCTACAAGTTATTTTTTTAAAGCGTAAGAATTAAAATCAAACGCTGTTTCTGAAAGAAATTATGAAAGATTTCTAATTACTGCTGATGTTTTTGGAAAAAAATTGCTACTCTAGTGGCCCCCAAATAACATCTGGGAATGTGTGAACTTGAAGCTTTATTACCCGATATTTGTAATTTCTAGTAATATACATGCATCATTAACAGGATGAAATTCTCACGGGAAGGACTGTTTAATTTTTTAATTTTTTTATTCATAGGATTTATCAGTGACTGTCATTGACTGGTGCCTTTTTGCTACAGAAGGGTTTTTGTTAATTCCTCTCAGGGAAACTAAGACAAGAATAAGTGAAACTGACTACTGCTGATACATTGGATTGAACAAAAGAACATTTACCACGAACAGAAGGGGAAAGAAAAATGTCCAGCCACCGAGGCTGAGCGGCATGAATTATATTCAGCAAAACATTAGCAAGCCCTTGCCCTGGCCAGGGCGGCTCAGTCGGTTGGGCGTCATGCCACGCACCCGAGAGGTTGCTGGTTTGATTCCGTAGGGTCAGGGTGCATGTGGGAGGCAACCGATCAATGGACATTTCACTCTCACATGGATGTTTCTCTCCATCTCCCTCTCCCTGCCTCTCTTTCTAAAAGTCAATTACAAAATCTTTTTAAACCGTTATTAAGCTCTTACGAAGTGCAAATCCTCCCCAAACACTGTCACACCTATAAAGGCTACCTCCTCCCGGAAAGCCTCCATCTTCAGATGGAAATGCCAGCTCGCTGCACTGAGCATCGGTGCCCAATCACGCTCCTCCCAGCCCTGGTCCGGCATCTGTTTTGCATCAGTGACTCCCTCCCAATGTGAGCCCCTCACTCTATGGTCAGCCTCCTGGGGGCAGGATCCTGGCCTTTTGTGTTACATCCACCCCTCCCACATTCACATATACCTGAGAATTCTCACATATACGTGAGAATATACGTGAATAAAATGTTCTGGGTGTTCTGTTTTTGGAAACATCACTCTTATTTCAAAACCCTCTTTTGTGAAAGACGTATACGCCCATATTTTAAAATCATTCGTTGGGAAAGCTTCTAGTTTTAAGCCGGCAGAGCAATTAATTTCCTGCCTTAACCTCAGAAATGACCCCCCCCCCCCCTGCCCCCGAACTTGGAGGATTATAAACATCTACAAAACGGCATCTGCAGGAATACCAGGAAACAGCAGGGGCCCCAAATCATAATCTATGTCCCGCCAGATGAGAGGGGCAGCATCCCAGACTTAAAAAGGAAGGGAGAACATGCTCTAGCCGGTGTGGCGCAGTGGATAGAGCATCAGCCTGCAGACCAAAGGGTCCCAGGTTCGATTCGGGTCAAGGGCACATACCTCGGTTGCAGGCTCTTCCCTGGCCAGGGCCCTGGTTGGGGCTTGTGCAGGAGGCAACCAATCGATGTGTTTCTTTCACATCAATGTTTCTCTCTTGTCTTTCCCTCTCTCTTCCTCTCCCCCTTAAAAAAAAAAAAAGGGAGGGAGAACAGACCAATGAAATTCCATCCTGTTCTTCCTCCCTAAGCCAGGACGCTCAGCACTGGGATCGAACTAGAAGGTCAGAGTTCAAAGTGGCCTCTGGGAAGGAGGACCTACTCTGAAAATTGGGGCGGGGGGTGGGGGTGGGGGCGCGCACAGGAGTACGTCACCCAGCATCACAAGTCTCTGAACATACTTACTTCAACTAGGCACATGTTTTACTTGGTAAAAATAGAGTAAGAAAGAAAGAATTAGTGCACCAAAAATTACCCTTAGATTTAAGTTTTCTTTCTACTAGGACACTTTAATTAACTGCATCCCTCTTAGTAATTGATGCCCTGTTTTTTATAGTTTTTATAAAATACGCAAACATATACTTGCTCATTTTTTAAAACATTTTGCTTCCATTTCTTACATTTGACATCTTTAACAACGCTTCCCATAAGCAAGTCTACATAATAAAACATATAAAAATGCAAATGAGATAGTCAACAGAAACTAATGTATTTTATAATGCCAACTCCTTTATAAGTTTTGAGAAAATTATATACACATTCACTAGTCGATGTACAATATTTAATGTCTATATCTGAGCCCAAATTACTAAAGACGATGATCTATTTTTCTGAACTCATGTCCTTTTCCCAAACGAAATCAAATGAAGAAAGCGATGGGAATTTCCTCACAAGCTATTTCATACATGGATGCCCCTGAACTTTACTGAGTCTAAACTCCAAAACATGTGCAGGTAAATCACTTTGGCATTCAAAACACTAAGGGATGTTTATTTGCTGTTGCCATTAAGAGCACAATTTATTGCGGAACATTTAAATCTAAGTCCTAATTTATTTAAACTCTATAAATGAAAGGCTGTTAAATTCGGGGACACTGACATTTGATAGATAAGAATTTCATCTCAATTTTTAATATGTTCTTTCATTATTATTTTTGAACAATATAAAATATTTGCAAGATTAAGAAGACAGAAAAATAGAATAATTTAAATGATTATGGCCTTCTGAAATTCTATGTTTGGCATGGTCAGACAGTAGAGGAGAAAAGAACTCTTGAATAAAGTTCAATTCAACTGTGTATGTATTTTTAATTATACCTCCTTTGTTCTACAGACAAGAATTTATAAGA